ACTAGGGTAGGGCTCTCAAATAAAGAAAAATACCTGGGGGTGTGGCTAGATAAGACACTCACCTGGAATGTACATTTGGATGCAAACGTAAACAAGGCAATGAGAGCCTTCTTCGCATGCAAGCGACTTTACGGGAAGACATGGGGACTCTCCCCCAAAATGACTTACTGGTCATTCAACACAGTTGTGAAGCCGATAGTCACCTATGCATCCTTGGCATGGTGGACAAAAGCGACACAAAGAACTGCTAGCGCAAAACTAAGCAAACTACACCGAATGGTGTGCATTGGTATAACAGGGGCTATGCGGACCTGTCCTGCTGATGCACTTAGTGCTCTTGTAGGCATACCGCCCTTCCCAATTCTAATAGAGAGGGAGGCCAGTCTCTCGGCACTGAGAATCCTAAACACTTCCGAGTTAAAAACCGGAAACATGACAGGTCATATGAAGGTCCTTATGAAATTCACAAATGACCCCATAATGCATATGAGGGACTCAGTAGCTCCGATACTAGTAATTTCTAGGAATTTCAAGGTATCTATTGCGGACCGAGCATCCTGGAGCACAGGAAACCCCTACACCAAACCCGGAGCTGAAGTTTGGTACACTGACGGATCAAAACTTGAAGATGGAAAAACTGGAGCTGGTATATTTGGGCCGAATTTTAAAAGATCGATACCAATGGGCAGCTACCCCACCATTTTCCAAGCAGAGATTCATGCGATCGATATCTGTGGCAGAGAATGCCTCAGAAGAGGCACATCCTCTAAAAACATCTGCATTATGTCGGACAGTCAGGCTGCCTTGCTAGCACTGAGGTCCCACATAATAACATCCAAACTAGTGTACGACTGCCTCAACACCCTAAACGGTCTTGGAAGCAAGAACCCAGTATTACTGGGCTGGGTGCCGGGGCACGAGGGCCATGACGGCCATGAACAGGCGGACCGCCTAGCAAACCACGGAGCCACCACACTATTCCATGGCCCGGAACCCTTCTGCGGGATCACCAAAGCCCACTTAAGGGAGGTCATAAACAAGTGGGTCGACATAAAATTCGACAGGCACTGGAATGAATGTCCGGGGCAAAGACAAGCTAAGCGGTTCATCTGTCCATCACAAGAAGCTTCAAAAAAGCTCATAAATCTAGGCAGGGAGGACCTTCGAACTCTCACTGGGTACTTCACGGGACATTGTTCCCTGCGTTATCACCTCAGTAAAATGAATCTTTCAGACACGAGCGTCTGTCGCTTCTGTGAGATGGACGAAGAAACGCCAGAACACATCCTTTGTGAATGTGTTGCTCTCGCTAGACGCAGACTCGCTCACCTAGGTGGTACAACACTTAATCCATTCGAAATATGGAACAAAAAGCCCACCGAAGTGCTAGCTTATATTAAAAGCCTTCATATATAGGGTAAAGGGCCACGCACAATAGACCAACCTAGAGGTCGCAGTGCTCAAGGCTCATAATAATAATAATACATACCTACATATGTATGTATGCATATAACTACACACATAGTGAAAATAGTTATTAGTACAGTGATTGTTTTACAATATTCGCGATGTTTTAAATAATAAATTTTTCTTTAATTTTTCACGAAAATACTTTTCATATTTTACACAAAAACCATAAGCATAAAATTTTCAAACTTTTTGCAAAATTAAGAAAAAATGATACAAACTTTCATAAAAATTTTGAATAACAGTTTTAAAAAAAAAAATTAGTATGCAGTGTTGTAGCTCATTCAATTTCAGTGAATAAAACGTAAGCTTCAAGTCGCTTCAAATTACCTTTGATTTTTTAGAATTTGTTTCTCAAGGGTGTTACCTATTTTCTTCCATGAACAAAATGTAGTTTTGCATGGAAGAAAACCTTCAACACCTTTGAGAAAAAATATAAAAAATCAACGCAATTTTTAGCGACTTGAAACTTGCATTTTTTAGCACTGAAATTGAATGAGCTTCAAAACTACTCACTGAATTTTTTTCCAAAAAATCTGAATCAAAAGTTTGAAATATACATCAGGAATGTTGCGAATGTGGAATTTTCCGCGGATGCGGATGTCAAGTATTTTTATACCTAAGCGCACTTGTGCACAAGGGTATTATAACTTTGTTCACATAACGGTTGTTTGTAACAGGCAAAACGAATCGAAATAGATATAGACAAATGTATACATAAATGATCAGAATGAAAAGTATAATCGATTAAGCGGTGACTGTCTGTCCGTCCATCCGTCCGTCAGTCTGTGCACACGATAATTCGAGTAAAAATTGAGATATCTTAACGAAACTTTGTACGTGCACTTCTTTCGGGGACGGATGGTATTGAAAATGGGCAAAATCGGACAATAACCACGCCTACCTCCCATATAACGGTGCTTTTCAGAAATATGAAACTGCGATATTTTAGTAACAACTGAAGATTATTCACTCAAGATTGATATTTACAATCACTTTTAGGCAAAAAGTAAGAATATTATAAATTTTTGGAAAATGGGCGTAGCCACGCCCACTTATGATTACATGTGTATACCTTGGGAACTGCCCCGCCAATTTCTCCCAAACTTGTCACAGTTGGCCTTCACAAAACATACCAAACGACTGAAAATTTAAAAAATCGGATAATAACCATGCCCACATCCCATGTAACGGTAATTTAGAGAAATATGAAAGATTCGATAAATCAGTAAATACTGGAGCTAATTTATTCAAGATTGATGTTTTCAATCATTCTTTAGCAAAAAATACGCTTATAATAAAATGTTGCAAAATGGGCGTGACCCCGCCGACTTATGATCAGATATATGTATCTCGGTAATCGTTCTACCAATTTGTACCAAACTCGATATGATTATTGTGGCTGCCACATAGGGGCAAAACGTTGAAAGTTATTGAAATCGGACTAAAATTATGCCCACTCTTTCATAACGGTAAATTTCAGAAATGCCTGAAACTTCGATATTTCGAAATTTAAGGACGCTAATTTTACTCAAACAATCCTTTGAAAAGCAGTTACATTATTATTGAATTTTGGAAAATGGGCGTGATGCCGCCCACATATATCTTTATAAGTTTATCTCATTATATCTAACTGAACGTTCTATCGAAGATGTTTGAAATAGTGGTAACCCCACCCCTGTTTACCATGTTGCGGAAGCTTTAGGAAAGGGGAAAATCATATATTTAATACTTGTGCCGGGTATTTAATGTTCGGCTCCGCCCGAACTTAAACTTTTTTACTTGTTAAGAAATAATTTAGGTGATTTCGTTAAATCAAAAATCTAAAGGTTAGTAATTTTTAATAATATTTCTTTAGTACTTGAACTTAAAAATTGGAACATTGTATTCAATAAAAAGTTTTAAAAGGGTCGTAATTCAAGGCCACTAAATAATTGCTCGCTCGAGGCGACAAACTTGGAACTTGACGAAATTGTAAATTCTTTTCGATTGACGCTGCACCAGTCGAGAAGATTTTCAGTTATATTTATTTTTTTTTTTTATTGCGGTGCAATATTTCTTTTGTGAGAATTGCATCGGGCTGCAAATGTCGGATGTATCCTCCTGACTTTCATCTTCACAATCTAGTATCATGGTAAGATCGTTGTTTAAACACCGTTGTTTTCCAAAGAATTTTTCATTCTCATTCTTTTGGTTGTTTCTGAATTTGGAGTACCTGTAACGTCAACAGCGTTTTTCGATTATAGTTTTTGTAATTCATTTTTAATCCTTTTTTTCTGTGACTGGCTAGATATACGTTTTATCAGTGCACTTGCACAATATTCCAGGGACCGAAAATAAAAGTTATTTTTTACCATTTAATTTTGGCCTAATATTTTTTATTCCGAAATAAAAGTTTTTTCTGGATAATAAACAAACAGCTTATCAAAATTAAACAAATTTAATATCATGTGAAAGAGGACTAAAATAGCTTTTAAACAGAAATAACGAACGAAGGTTACCAACTCTATTTATATCATTTAATACTAAATAAATTCATATACCTGACCCAAGGTTTCTTCTGTGGTAATTAATTAACATTTTTTATTGAAATATTTTTCAATAGGTGGCTTTTCTCGTTTAGACATTGCAGTTTTAAAGCTATTTAAGTCCTCTTTCAGTTGATACCAAACTTGTTTAATTTGGATAAGCGGTTTGATTATTATCCGGAAAGGACTTTTAGTTGGGAATAAAACATATTTGGCCAGTTACATGCACACATATGTAAGGTTTTTTTTATACAAGGAGAAAGCATCGAAAGCCTGTACCCCGTAGTGTGGAACTTTAATCCAAACTGAAACTCTATGTATGTCCGCTGCACCGTATCCCTCCGGCACCACCATAAAGTATTTCGTCGGAGGGCGGTTGAGCCTAAGCTCGATCTAGTATCTAGTTCATTGTGCACAAGTTTCAAATCAATCGATACATAAACGTCTGAGATATAGCGAGCTTAAGTGAAAATTTCGCTAAAATTGGTCGCTGTGAAAAATCAGATTTTGTGGGTTTTTCGACATAAAGGCATGAGTAAAAACTTGGTTAAAATTAACTTTAAATGTATTTTTGAATAAGCTCTCGATTACAATTCGTTTGAAATCGCTTCTCTCCACTTGAAATTTATGTTTTTTTACGTTGCCTGTTGTTTTCGCTGCTTGTTGTTTTTTTCGCTGTTGTTGTCGCCCAAACTTTGCGAGAAGAATAACGGATCTGCGCATGGCGCAACCTCTTACATATAAACCTTGAGTTCAGAGATAGTTCTGAAATGTATAGGGCGGAACTAGCACTTTAACAGACTGTCTCTAAATTTTATTGCAGGGAAAGTTTGCGGCTAATAAATTTTTGACAAGTATGAGGTGAATAAAATTTCAGTAGCTCATGAGGCTAGTGAAATTTTTGAGAGATGCATAGAAAATGTTAACAATCGCAAAGATTGCTGCTGTGTGTAATTTTTCGTAAAACAAAAGCTTAAATTGATGAATTGCAATCAATGATCCCTGCAAGCCACAGCTAACCAGTTGCCGCTGAAATTCAACAGATTTACACACACACTCGCAACTTTTTATCTATGCTACCCACACATTTACAAATTTATTTTTCCGACTGTCAAAACAAAATTCTGAGTGAGAGCACCGGACCTAATAAAAATTTTTACTGTAATAAGAATTTTATGCGTTAGAGCGAGTAAGTGGAAATGAAGCAAAATTTGACAGCTTTGATCACAGAGGCTGTGACTTTAGCAAAAGTTTGACATCTTTGATCACAGTAGGCTGTAAATAAAAGCGTTAATTTTGCAAAAACATTTGAAGGTAAGAGAACGTTTTAACAATTTGCATTGTTTATAATGGAATTTTTTTCTTTTAGATTGCCGAAACACTGCGATTTAATCATATAATTAAGGTATGTATTAGAATTATTCAAATATTTGTATATTTTAATTGATAATTTTGCATTTACAGATTTGCGATTTTTCATTCTAAATTTATCTTCGACCCTGCTACCACGGAACATCAACGCCACCTCCAGTCAGGCACCACACCAG